AAATTATTATATTAATATGAGCTGGCACAAAGCGATTTCGAGATCTATTATTGGAACTATTTTTGTTGTTGATTAAGGGTCTTCCAGAATACACTTTTTGAAAGATGAAAGGCTTTACAAATCCAGTTTCCTGTCACAATTTACTAATAAACAACTTGATCTTCTCTTCAGTAATCTTTCATATCAAATAAGAAAAGATTCTATAGAATTGGCGACGAGGACAAAACATAACCATAGAAGATGAATGAAGACCAATTTAAGTAATTTATGTTTGTTTTGACTGCTAGTTTTACAGGACAAAGTACTATACTTCAACAAATTCGAGGACAACCGGCAAATTCATCAGGTATCAATTCCACTTCTTTTCTGTCCTTATTTAAGAATTTGCATCCCCAGAATGAAGAATTCAAGAGTTACAGGCAACGGTTCAAAAATTATCTGAATCTCAAGAATACTTTTGATGATGGAAATTATGGAGCTCAGATGTTGCTTAATTCTTTAAGATCTACGACTTACAGTACGCTTACAGCCCTAGTAGGTCCTAATAACACTAGATGAATTCACCTATATGATGAGTTAATCGTGTATCTGGAAAAACATCTATGCCTCAAGAAAAATGTTATGGTTTCTCACCATAGATTTTCATCAACTCACCAATAAGAAAATCAATTTATTTTCGGGTATGTGGCTACGCTAAGACGTGATAATTTTAATTGCGATTTTATATCGCCGTGTGCGTGTAAAGCTAATGTTGCAGTTCGTCAGAAGAATTTATGACCATCGATTCGTGAACAGTTGCTTCAATCGACTACCGATGATTTCGATGCTCTAATGATGCCTTGGCGCTTGAGGCATCAAAATTAGCTACTAAAGAAATATCAAATACAGGAAACCTAAAATGGCCCATCAATAGTTAATCGTTTTTCGAGGAAGGATTCATGTTTTTAGAACCGTTCACATCACAGGTCCCTGTCAGGAAATCAACGGCAGAAGTCAAGATCACGTATAAACTATTCTGAATTGGGTATAGATCAACTATGCATCCGTTGTGGCAGAGATAATCGTCGTGTTAAAGACTGTAGAACTGATCTAGATAGACTAAAATGCGCTGATTGTGGAAAAACCGGTCATGTGAAAAAAGTATGCATTCGTTCTCTATTGACTAATAAAAATAAATCAAAATTAGACATTCAATCTGTGGAAGAGGATGATTCATAGTGCCAGGATACTTTTGGAATCAACAATATTGTAGATATTTTCGAAAACCAAAATTTACATGAAGCAACCAAAAATTTGGAGTCGACTCTGGTGCTGGGTTTACACTTCTACCAGTTTCTAGTTTTAAAGCACTTGATTTAAAAATAAATTTGAAATTATCGACTGAAGGGCTCTATCTAATAGTTGATAGTACCAGATAATTTTGAATCACTTTTAGGACATTTTTGAAAATGATATCTTGGAATCAACTTGCAACAACTCGATAGTGGAAGCATAAGAAATACAAACCAGCTTGATACCGATAGAATGGAGGAAATAGCACAAGAGCTTTCAGAAATATTTGAATAGAGGATTGGTTCAGTTCCAAATTATACAGTATCATTAAATCTTCGACCTGATGCTAAACCATCATTCCATAAAGAACTAGAAGTACCGTATGCTCTTCCAGATCGTGTTGACAGAGAACTAGATATTTTAGAAGCTGATGGTATAATATCCAAGGTGAATGTCAGCGATTGGGGTTCACCATTAGTTGTAAGTCCTAAACCAGATCAAGGGATACGTTTGTGTGTTAAATATAAGGTAGGAGTTAACAAATGCTTGTTTTCAGCAAACTATCTGATTCGACATATCGACGAGATCCTAAAGAGTTTAAGGAATTCTAAATATTTTTGTTGTTTAGATCTCTATAAGGCATATCTACACCTTCGAGTAGACGATGAAAGTAGCCTGATTCAAACTATTGCTACACACTGTGGTACACAAAAATGCATAGATTGTCATTTGGTATTGCTGTTCCCATCTGAATTTAACCGGATTATCGATTAGATTCTGAACGGCTTACCAAAAACACGTTCATATTTCGATGACACAATAATCTATGGATTCACGAGAAAAGAATGTCAACATAATCTTTTAATATGTTTACAACGACTCAAAAATTTCGACTTACATTTGAATAAGAAGAAATGTGCATTTTTCCGAATCAGCATCGAATATCTTGGGCATGTGATTCAACATAATCAAATATGGAGATCTCTAGCAAAAGTAAAAGCCATAGTTGACATCATGTTTAGACTCAAGGATGTAGAGGGAGTTCGTCTTTTCTTCGTATGCTTATATATTAGTCTCGATTCATACCCAGTGGGATCGTTCCTGTGAGGCAGCATTCATAAACTTGAAGCAGGAAATAACGAGTGATCGTGTTCTGATACCATTCGACCCAAATTCACCAATTATTCTAGCTTGTGATGCAAGTCTTGCAGGTATTGCCGGTGTTTTATAACATATTAAAGATCGTGTAGAAAAACCGATAGCTTTCGCTTCAAGATCATTATAACAGCTAGTGAACATAACTATAGCCAATTGGACAGAGAGGCTTAGGCTATAATGTTTTCAGTAAATCACTATTCATGTATTACATGGAAGAAAATTAATATTGATCACTGATAACAGCCCGCTAACAAGAATTTTCCAGCAGAATGCGAAATTACTAGCTATGACGTCTGCCAGACTACTTAGATACTCTTCGTTACTTTCAAGTTTCGATTACGTGGTAGAATACAGAAGAGGTTGTGAACATACGAATGTGGACTACTTATCTCGATCACCAATGGACCAGAATTAAAAATCAACTGACAAGTTTGTTAATGAAGAAGTAAATCAAATCTGTTATTCAACCATTTCCGACATATCAACATTGCTAAATGCTGAAAGTATCCGAGTCGAGACATCAGAGAAAGATGAAGTCCTATCGAAAATAAAATCTTATTAATTGACAAATCAATTATCAAAATTTCATTACTTTATTCTGGAAGATGGACTGCTTTTCAAGAGACAAAGAGTTGTTACGCCGAGTAAACTTCAACCTTCAGTGTTAGCAGAACTGCATAGAACTCACATTGGAATCCCGAAAATGAAGCAGTTGGCAAGAAAGTATTGTTTTTGGATAAACATCGATAAGGATATCGAAACATTGGTTAAATCATGTGATGCATGTGCCCTAATTCGATCCTCTCCAGCCAAATCACCATTGCACCAATGGGAGTTACCTGAACAAAACTGGGATCGTATACATATTGACTATGTTGGTCCTTTTCAAGATTTTAATTTTCTAGTGGTCAGAGATGCAAAATCACGATAGGTAGAAGTTGAAATACTCAGGGATGCACCAACATCGATGAAAATGATTTTTCAAGATTTTACAAGATATTTTTCCTACACATGGATTTCCAAAAGTTATGGTATCAAATCAATGTATGAAGTGGAAACATTTTTCGGAATGGATTTGAAGAGGAGTGACTGTGATGTTCATATTACCCAGAAAATAATGATTAGAAGTCTATTAGAAGAATTTAGGATGATGGACGAGACTCGGTCATTTGCGACTGCAATGGAAGTCAATTTTTAAATGGATATAAATGCTACAGTGGCAGATAATGTTCCATATCGAAGATTAGTATATAGTTCAATGTATCTATCTTTAGTGACCAGGCCTGATATAGCTTATAGCGTTTCCGATTTTTGGAGAAACCCACTTCATGAGCATGGAAAGCAGCTAAAAAAATTCTTCGGCCTGACATTCAAGAAAATATAACTGTGTCGCATTGTCCTCAATGGAGGCAGCGGACATTTTTGGAATTATTTTTGTTACTTAAATTAAATATGTCTGTTCTGTAGAAAACTGTGCGAATATGTTTACAAAATCTTCACGACAGGAAAAATTTGTGAAGTTTAGATCATGTTTGTTAAGCCAATGTAGGTACTATGTAAAGCAATTGTATTATACTGTAGGGTAATTCAAAATGTATTTTAAGATAGGTAGGTAAGTGAGTTTATTTTGTTGATACATTTGAATTGAGGGGGTGTGTTGAATTTAATAATATGTAGGATATAGAAATTCGCTTCTGAAAATTGTTTCTTAAAATTGAAGACGAACATCAATCATTAAATACAAAATATGGTGAAATTTGAACTATTGATGTCATTTTTCTTATCGGTAATAATAGATAGGTATAATATTTACCTACTAAGAAATCTCCAAAAATAATTAGTTTTGTTAAAAATTATATAAAACTACGAAAAAATACTGCATACAAAACATAGGCACATATTATGTCACAATCCGTCTAGACAAGAACTATTTGCGCCTACACAACAATGGAAGCTCCTACTTGAATAGTGTTAATTAGTATAAGAATGTTGCAGAAAATATCAGGAAAAATGTTTATGTGGAAAAACACTGTAGGTGGAAGTTAAACAAAATAATAATAGGAAAACAAATACCTACACTCTAGCAAATAAGTCTTTTGGTAGCCTCATTTTCTATCGTAACATTGACTCGAATAACAATGCGATAATTTGGCTACGTTCTACTGTTGAGAGAAACCTAATTTTGCAATGCAATCAAAATAGATATTATGCAAATTTAAAAATAGCAATTCAAATTAGAACACTTCTAAAATGCGTTTCAAATTCAATTGAATTCGCCAAGCAAAATTATTGATAAACGAAGTTTTTAAAATAAAAATGAATGAAGTTTTAGAAGATCAGAATATGAACACAACAAACTTCTTTTTTTTCCAATACATGGTGATCGATTTAACTTGGGACAATCTGATATCTCGAAAAGGGCTACTCGTTTTTGAGAAAGAAAGTTCAATTAAAAGTTATAGAGTCATTGGAAAAAGCAAATGGTAGCACAGATTTTCGCTTATGAATAACTTATATTTGAACTTTTTTTTCCAAAAACCCTGTGAGAATTTGAAAAAAAAATTACTTACCCTATTATTAAGAAATTCCCTTTTGTACGGATTATGTTTATCCTCGTCGTCTATGAAGCGCACATTGTCGAGAGTAGTAAAGTCGTGCGTCGCGACGCGCGCGATACTACCGCTATTATTGGTCGACGTCGGTTTAAAGTCGGGTATGCTCTGGACCGTCAGCATCATGTCGGACAAGAGCTCGTCGAGCTCGCGGTGCTGATCTTCGGGCGTTATCGGCGAAGGTTGCGCAGTCGGCGGCGGACTACCTGAAGAGGCGTTGGTGTTGGCGTTCTGCTGGTGTCCTGCAATCGAAGAATTGTACGAAATTATTAGCGAATTGGAGCAGATTGAGATGTGTTATGGAAAAAATTGCGATGTTTTTAAAGAAATGGTAGAACTAAATGAAAAAATTGTCGTGCTAAAAGAACAACTAAGACATAACCTAGGCTTGAACTTCATATTATAACGATTTCTATTGACAACTTTCAAAATTGGAAACGAACCACAAACCACTGGGCATCGACGCATTTATTATGTTGAAGAATCCCTTAAAGCTTAGTTGGTATCAAAGCTGAATGATTCAAAGATCAGGATAGAGAATGATGAATTATGTAAAGAAAAAATAAGAAATATAAAAATCCGCCATTTCCTCCTCAATGCATAACTCTCTCATGGCAATAGAAAGTTATAAAATACGACAAAATGACATCAACTGATCGTCTCCAATATTAAATTTGTGATTTTTCATAAAAGACAAGTCAAGGATAATGGAGCTGCGATTTTTTTTCAATATTATAAGCATATTCAGTCATGCTTCTGCCTGTAATTTCGATTTTTCTCCTGAAAATTAATATTCTCGTAAATACCGCTTATTTTTCAAATATTCAGGAAGCTTTTGCCTGTGAAATATAAAAATTTCATAAAGGAAAAGTCAAGGATAATGGAGTTGTGATTTTTTCAATATGATGAGCACACTCAGTCATGCTTCTGCCTGTAGATTTTTCTCGTGGAAAATTGATACTCCTATAAATGCCTTATTTTTTTTATATACTCCTAAACAAAATTTTCGCACCACTGCACATAAGCACCACGTATCAGTGGTGCGATAATTTTGTCCAGGAGTATATATCCAGGAAGCTTTCGACTGTAAAATACAAAAGTTCCATGAAGGAAATGTCAAGGATAATGGAGTTGTGGTTTTTCTAATGTGATTAGCACACTTAGCCATAGTTTTGCCTGCAATAACGATTTGTCTCCTGGAATATTGATATTCCTTTAACAAACAGTCGCGCCTGGAACAGGGAGGTCAGGCAATGACCCCAGTTTACTTTTTTTAGCATTACTTACTTATTTTTACTTTTTCTTCAAAACCCGTTCAGGACTTTTATTTTACGTGTTTTTTCAACCCGTAGACATAGAATTTGTTGGGATTGGTAAAATCTATGACTTTCGTCAGACGTTTTTATTACGCGTACAGTCATCGGGAGACACAAGAAGATGGCCGATGGCGGTTTTATAGAAGCTAATGAGAACTGGGCAAGAGATAATCCAAAACAAAAATCTAGGAAAAAAGTTCTTCTAATAAATGCTCAGGCAAGCTGTTATGTCAAATTGATATGGGTAATCGCTCAAGCTATAGAGGACTTCAAAATAAATATATAGCTACTCTGAAAATTAGTTTTGAATAAGATACTGAATTTGTTCACTTTTTTTTACAAATCACGTACCCGGGATTCGCTAACACCCCTGTTCTGAATTCAAGAAAATCTGGGGTCAGTTGCTAACCCCTCTGTTCCATGTTCTCCGGGTACCTAGTTAGGGTCCCAATGCGACTTTAAATACCGCTTATTTTTTTATATATTCAGGAAGCTGACTCAACCATAATAAGGAAGCTAGAGAATAAGTTTAGGGACGACATTATTATTACAGCAAAACGAAGTAAAGAACCTATCATTTCTTTCCGAGATATGGGGCATAAAATCTTAATGGAAGCTTGGTACACAAATAAACAGGAAGATGAAAAAACAGAACGTTTGAGAATCGTGAAGGCAGCTGCAGAAATTCTAGTTCAGGATATCAAAACGGTGGTATACGAAACAAAACATATCCTCAACCGAACGTGTTTTTAACCAATGTTCAAAAAGATATTCCTGACACCCTGAAAACTTTGCTTGACACAATTATCTTAAAGAATAAACGTGGGGACGACAACAATAATTGGAATACCAAGATTGTAGCTATTGCACATGCAATTATAGCTGCAGCTAGGCAAGGTCCTTTTTGTCATCGCTTCAAATCGGCCTTGGAGCTCTCTTGAGCAGGAAATATGGTTCAAGACAGCTTCTGCAAATTCTGTCAGCTTTAGGATTCTGTGCTTCATACGAAGAAACTGCGACGTTCGAGACTTCAGCTATATTCCAACCTCAGAAAACAGCAACGAGCGACTCGTTCTCGCAATTTGTATTTGATAATGCAGACAAGAATATTAATATTCTAAACGGTTTTATTACTTTCCATTCGATGGGAGGGAACGAGTGTGTAACTCCTTTCAATGCTATTTCATCAGAAGACGCAATCACCAGACAGACTCCTGAAACTCCATTCTGAACACGGTCACGGTTAGACTAGGAGGATTTCATCTTTCAATAATATTCGTGGGTGCTACTACAGAACAACATGTCAATGCTAGAGTATCGCGAATATCTAGAGACACACAGAACGTGAATAAATTTGTGAGGTGGTTATCATCGCATAATCCGTTTCCAGAAACCAAGGAGATTATATCCATCAGCACAGGCATACAGGGAGACATAAACATTAATTGTTACGAAGCAGATGAAGTCAGCATGTCTTCAATGGAAGCTATTGTCAATAAGAATTTTGATGATAATAAGTTCCAACAAAAGAACAGGGGACTACCCCTTCGAGCAGTTAACTTGTCAATAAAAATACAAGATTAAATCGTCCCCGCCAACCCGTCACTAATTTTTCAAAGGATCGCAATAAGTAAGAAATCGAAGAAAGATTTGCAGCAATATTTTACCTTTGAACTGGTTCCGCTCACACTTTTTGATGAAATAGGAATGCGAAAAACAAATAAATCAATATTGTACGAAATGTTTTCTGCGACGACAAATCCAAATAACTATGGCAATGTGGTACATGTAATAAACGGTGGATTTCTTCTTTATCGTGTTGTTTGGCGCCAGCAGGAAACGTTTTCTGACATACTCTCGAAGTATGTAACATAAGTTCAAAAGTAATATAAACCCAACAGTGTCATCGTTTTTGATGGTTACCCAACCGGAAGATGCGAAAAACAAAAGTACCAAGTCTGCCGAACGTCTCCGTAGATTACAGAAGCATGTCGCTGTCTTTGTTACGTTTGACGAGACGATTAAAGCAACTTTGTCGCAGGAGAAGTTCCTGGCCAACGACAAAAACAAGAGGCGGCTGATATCGTTATTACGTGATAAACTCCAAGCTGCAGAATTCGTCGTAAAGAAAGCAACTGAAGATGAATACTGCAATCGAATTATCGTACAGTGATTATTTGATTATGATAGTTGGTGAAGACGTCGACTTTCTAATATTGCTGAAGACCCTGGATTCATCTCTATCAAATGTTCATCTACCAAAACCAGGAAAAGGGAAAAAACATAACATGATTTACTCTTCCAAATGTTTTAAACATTCGAAAGAAGTTGCAGAGCACATACTATTTATCTACGCCTTTGTGGGTGGTGGCTTTCTTCAGGCAGGGAAAAAGAAGTTTATAACACTGCTGCAAAAAAATCCTGAGCTGTGCAAAACAGTTGCCATCTTTTGGATCCCAGATGCTACTGTAAACTTGAGCGACACAGCAGGGAGAGCTGTTATTAAAGCCTTGTACGGGCAAATCACTGACTCCGTTTCATTGAAGGAATACAGGTTCCAATGTTTTGTAAAATCAATATGCAAGAGTGATTGCAATCTTGCCTCGTTGGCCGTTACCACCTACAGCAGAAGCAGCGCGACAGCACTCACTTCGAGCCTATCATCAGGTACAAGAGTGGTACGGCAACAGGAAGCGTCTGCAAGATTGGAGTTGGAAATATAGTGCAAACGGACTGGCGCCTAATCCTAGTCTGAAGGATGCTGCTCCGCAGGAGCTCTTAATATCAATTTCGTGCAAAAGCATGAAAGACTGTAAGACAGATCGTGGCTGCAGAAAATCTGCCCTGCGTTGCTCATCAATATGCAGAAACTGTGGAGGTCAATCTTGTACCAACGTCGAAATTCAGGAAGATACTCTTGACTATGGCGAACAAATCAACGTACAGTTTGAAGAATTTGCGACATGAAAGATGGACCTATGGATATTGTCATCGCTTCCAGCTACCTCCCGATAGACACACCGATGCCGGAGCTTACAATAGCTCTGGCAAATCTGGTGGAGTACTGTCAGAGACATGGACGGCAACTTATCATTAAAGGGGATACAGTCTTAATATACACGGACGGATCCAAAACCAGTAGAGGAACAGGAGCGGGTGTTTTCTCACCTGAACTGAACCTCCGCATAAGTACCTTCTTTGGTGACCACACCACTGTCTTTCAGGCGGAATTGATGGCGGTTATCCAGGGAGCCAAGATAGCTATCGATCAAGAAATCCATTGCGAATGAGTGCGATTTCTAACGGATAGTGAATCCGTGCTGTCGGCCCTTGACAGCGCTAGAACAAACTCAAAGCAGATCATGCAGTATATAGAGGCTCTCAAAGAACTCGCACAAAAGAACACCCTTGAACTCTGCTGGGTCAAAGGGCGCCATAACAACGCAGGCAAAGAAGAGGCTGACGGTCTTGCCAGAGCGACTTCAGGGCAGGCTCCTATGGGACCTCAACCCATGATCCCTCTGTCAACTAACACCATCATTGCCGAGGTTAAACGAATCACTCGTTCAGAGCACGCCAAAATGTGGCGCAGTTTAGGCACTTGTAAGCAGGGCAGAGCAATGATCAACCTCCGGAACAGAAAAAAAGCCAAAAATAGTGTACAGTTGTCGAGGGAAAACCTCCGCCTACTGGTAGGAATTTACTCAGGATACTGTAGACTAAATAAACACTTTTACACCTTGGGTGTTGTTGAGACCCCAATGTGTCGATGGTGCGACGCTGCAGACGAAACGGTTGAACATGTGCTTTGTCACTGCCCAACCTTTTGTCAACAACGGAAAGCCATACTGGGGGACATCTGGTCTGATATGGGCAGGTTGAGGCGCACCTCGCCTGGAAGGAGGAGAATGCGCCTTAACAAATGGAGGTGAAACAAAGGGCCCTAAGGTGAGGCCTAGTGTCAGTGAGGTAACTCACCCTCCTTTGCAACTATCCAGATCCAGATACACACTAACATTGTTTAATAAATGCAAGACTACATTATACTCGCAAGTATTTGAATTAGGAGTGTTCCGGCTATTTTTAGGAATGGTGACAGAGCTGATGTCAAAAACTACAAAGTTATAGTAAAATCTCTTTAATTGCTAAACTGTGGGCGATTCACTGGTTTCTGATAGTTTATCGCCACAACAGCACGGTTTTATGAAAAGATCAACTGTAACTAATCTCTTGACCCATGAGCAGGCTCTGTTGGGTATCTTTAAAAATAAGAATCAGGTGGATGCTATGTATACTGATTTCTCGAAGGCATTCGACAGAGTAGATCACAGAATTTTGCTGTCGAAGCTAAATGTTGTGGCCTTTCTGGCTCTCTTTTTAAGTAGATTGAAAGCAACCTGAAAGACAAGCAAAATGATTTTTTTTATATAATCTGAAATTGTAGTGACATCGGGTAACGCAAGGGGGGCAACTGTTATTCAAAATTCATTCTTCTTAATGTGTTTGTTAATGATATTTAATTGATTTTCAAGGAATTTGATTTTTAAGTGTTTGCTGATGGCTTCAAGATTTATGAAATTGTGATCGATGCGCAGGACTGTCAATCTTCCCAAGAACAACTGAACTTATTTACCACATGGTTTTTTATATAATCTAAAATTGTGGTGATATCAGGGATACCGCAAGAATGGCAACTGTCATTCATCCTCTTCAATGTGTTTGTTAATGATATTTAATTGATTTTCAAGGATTGTGATTTGAAAGTATTTGCTGATAGCTTTAAAAATTATGAAATTGTGATTGATGCGCAGGATTGTCAATCTTCGCAAGAACAACTAAACTTATTTACCACATGGTTTTTTATATAATCTAAAATTGTAGTGACATCAGGGGTACCGCAAGGCGGGCAACTGTCTTTCATTCTTTTTAATGTGTTTGTTAATGATATTTAATTGATTTTCAAGGACTGTGATTTTAAAGTGTTTGCCGATGGCTTTAAAAAATATGAAATTGTGATTGATGCGCAGGACTGTAAATCTTCACAAGAACAACTAAACTTATTTACCACATGGTTTGTAGTGACATCAGGGATACCGCAAGGGAGGCAACTGTCATTCATTCTTTTTAATGTATTTGTTGATGATATTTAATTGATTTTCAAGGACTGTAATGTTAAAGTCTTTGCTGATGGCTTTAAGAATTATGAAATTGTGATTGAAGCGCAGGACTGTCAACTTCGCAAGAACAACTAAACTTATTTACCACATGGTTTTTTATATAATCAAAAATTGTAGTGACATCAGCGATATCGCAAGGGGGGCAATTGTCATTCATTTTTTTTAATGTACTTGTTAATGATATTTAATTGATTTTCAAGGACTGTGATTCTAAAGTGTTTGCTGATGGCTTTGAGAATTGTGAGATTCTGATTGATGCGCAGGACTGTCAATCTTCGCAAGAACAACTAAACTTATTTACCACATGGTTTTTTATATAATCTAAAATTGTAGTGACATCAGGGATACCGCAAGGGGGGCAACTGCCATTCATTCTTTCCAATGTGTTTGTTGATGATATTTAATTGATTTTCATGGACTGTGATTTTAAAGTAGAGATGTTATGGAATAGCTTTTTCTTGCACCTAGTATGACCTGTACCTGCTTCGAACACAAACCTATTCCAAGTACCTGGTTCCAGCTCCAAAATATTTCCTGTGAAACTCAGTAATTCACATGGTCGCCGACAGGTGGCTAGCTCTATTATTAGAGGTTAGAACATTAATAAACGTGTCTTTTATCAAGTCGAACACCGATTGATGATTCGAATGCTGGCAAGTGGCAATCCAGTGTAGTAGATTCTACTATTTCATTGAATTAATATACTAGAGGTGTTTTCTGGCGTCTCAAAGTTTTGAAACATTTTTCAAAACTTGTTTAAAACAGTTTCACAATGACGTCATAATTTCTCGGCGCAAGAAAATGGTTTTGAAACGTGGATTGGATTATATTTCGAAACAGTTTGAACCAATTTTGATGTGACGTCATGGGTTCATCGCGAGAATATACTATTTCAAATCTGTTTCAAAAAAGTGAACGCGAGAAAACAGCTTTGGTTTAGAGCAAACACGTGACATGCCAGCTCCTGCTCTGCGAACTCGGAACAGGTAGATCTAATATTTGATAATAGGTACATGGAACAGGCAGGTCATACCTATTCCAAAAGAACAGGTCCAGTTCCAGCTTAACATCCCCAAAGTATTTGCCGATGGCTTTAAGAATTATGAAATTGTGATTGATGCGCAGGACTGTCAATCTTCGCAAGAACAACTAAACTTATTCACCACATGGTTTTTTATATAATCTAAAATTGTAGTGACATTAGGTGTACCACAACGGGGGCAACTGTCATTCATTCTTTTCAATGTGTTTATTAATTATATTTCTCTACAAACGTCACTAAAAGTGTCATTTTTAACGGATGCTGTCAGTGTCTAAAATGCCATTTTATGACTGGTGCTAAAAGTGATTACTTTTAGCACTAAAAAGTAATCACTTTTAGTGCGTTTGTAGAAAAAATAGTGTATGATATTCGTGCTAAAAGTGATTTTATTTTGTTCAAAGGGATGGAACACTCCGCCTTCGGCGTCATGTTCCAAACTTCACTTTTCATAAAATAAAATGACACTTTTAGCACTTATATCATAAATAACTATTAATTGATTTTCAAGGATTGTGATTTTAAAGTGTTTTTGCTGATGGCTTTAAGAACTATGAAATTGTGAATGATGCGCAGGACTGCCAATCTTCGCAAGAACAATTAAACTTATTTACCACATAGCTTTTTATATAATCTAAAATTGTAGTGACATCAGGTATACCGCAAGGGAGACAACTGTCATTCATTTTTTTAATGTGTTTGTTAATGATATTTAATTGATTTTCAAGGATTGTGATTTTAACGTGTTTGCTGATGGCTTTAAGAATTAGGAAATTATGACTGATGCGCAGGACTGTCAATCTTCGCAAGAACAGCTAAACTTATCTACCACATGGTTTGAGTTAATAAAATTCAACTAAATATCAGAAAATGTAACGTTATCATATTCAGCATAATCAAAAGCCCAATCACTTTTAATTACCCAATTAACAACATAGAATTGGAAGAAGAAACCTCACTAAATGACTTCTGCGTTTGGATAGAGAGTGATCTATCATCTATTGAACTATTTCCAAGAAAGTTGAAAGTAGCATTGGAAAGTGGAAAACAAATAGAGTTGTTTACCTGCAGAAGAAATTCCACTGTCCATAGACACAGTCAGTGGACTGGATACAGCACCAGGAGATAACTCTGGTTTTTTGGCGATTGTAGCATAAATACTCCCATCTAGTGGTCCAAATGTGTGATTTACGTCATCTGTAACAAACAAAACAAAAATTAAGAAAAACTACATACACACACATGCAATTTCAATGAATTTCATATCTAATCCTATATAATTATAAATCCTATACATATAAATATTTATTTTTGTAATTTAATAAAGCAAACGTTACGTAATAAGTAAAGTCGATATGTACTCAAAACCGCAAAAACGCATTAACTCTTTTCCAGGAATATTAGCAATTATCGATGTGTAATATTAGGAGCAAGGATAGAATTTCCTGCTGAAAGGTCATCTATTATGGTAATATTGGAAACTGAATAGGTGAACTAGTTAATTGTTTCCTGTAATTAATACGATGCATTTTGAATTATGGCATGAATAATCTGAATAACTTTCCACAATAGTGCAGATAAATTTTGGCCTCATAATTCTTGCAATAAAAGTAACACCATCTGTTCGCCAAATTAATATTCAAGCAATCCTCGTAAACTACACTCATATAGACATTGTAACACCCATTAAGTAATTCGGAATACTTTGAAACGAGGCAAATGTGTGTGATTCTTGGCCCATTACCCACACCTACGTAATAGGTATACACTTTACTACGGCTACGGCTAATAAGGTAAAAATCCACTAGTCTTTTTACAATTACAGGTCATGATTTATTGCTTCGCCTTGCAAAGTTGAATTCGATTACGATATTTTGTATCACGATGAATCAATTTTTGGTTTTTCTTTGGTAGAGTTGTGGCTGCCGATCATGCAATACTTGGTCAGGATTTGTTATTACCTGCATATTGTATCAGAAATTATTGCTATTTCGTATTTTCTTCATCAAGATCACATGTATAGGAAATATATTATACCCATCCCTTATCATCTTCCCTTTTGCTATTAAAGCATGCCTTAGCTTTTTAGTAGGTAAACTATTTAAACAATTTCAAAAAAATCATATTCTATTTATTGGCTTTTACCCGTTATCATGGAATGCAATTTGCCATACGAAATAACGCTGGTTTCCTTATCCCAGAAAGGCAATCGGTATTCCTATATCTTGTCATTGAGTTATGACCTTTTGGTTATAGATGATAGGTAAATCGATAAATTGCAGAAATCTATTGCAATTATATTAATTATTGTTTGCATAAAAGTATCTTGTCATAATTTCTAACAAAAATTGTTAATAATAATGGATCCCTGCTATGATAGAATGGCGCCAACTACACCTTGTATAAGCTGCGCACGATATAGGTTAATAAACAAAATACGAATTTCCATATTAATTCACGCGTGAATAAATCATGTTGATATAGCAAACTGTTATTTGTTTGATATGCGTGAGTCATTTATCATTAGCATTGATTTGCTGGACACATGTCCCAGGAGACCAGCGGAGCGTGGACGATTTTATTGCCCATTTTAAGACTTTCGAACTAAATTCATAATGAAAAATGATTTATCAGTTGGCACCAGAATCTAAACCAAGAAACCTTGATTCTCATAATCAAATTTGATTATTAGAAAGTTAAAAGGCAAAAATCCATGAGTAACTCAAACATTTGGAACTGGAGTTAGGGAAGGAATTACCAGCGGTTGAACTGAAATGTCTGTATAAAATCATACGAAAATGTCAGTTGGACCGCTGGTTATCGGTCAAAATTTTAAACAGGAAAAAATAATTCATGAATAGTTTGTTAACACTACTTCCATCGATATTTCATTTCGGCTGGTCAATCAGTACTCAATTAATTTTCCTATTATGAATATAAGAAATTACTCCTTCAAAGCAAATTCATATAAAGCCATTTATATTCTAAGCGAACCTTGACCGTTTACAATTTTATACGTTCATGTTATATTCATGTAGGTGCTCTTACTACGCTTAAACTTTATCTACCATTTTCAGGTTTGTTTTTATGTGATAGTAGCAAAAGTAATAACTTATCACAACTCTTTTTACCGAAAGGAATGTGTCATTATTTATTTCGAAACGATACAAAATAGCATATTAACAAGAGATTGTGTTATAGATTAGGTAACTGATAAACGCTCACAATGAAATAGTATTGTAGAATGGAGGCAGCAGAGCTGAAATTTTCCTATCTAAAATTAGCTTGTTCAAATTCAATAGTTTGATATTGTTCTCTTGCTCTTTCCCTGAAAACATTCCCTATAGTATAATTCTTGGACTTCCAGGTCCATTTCGTGTAGAACTTCGTTGAATGCTGATTTTTTTTTTCTTGTATCTCCATCTTCATTGTATCCATTCTGAACGTTTTCATCTTGTTGAGAATACTTTTGGTAAAGTTTCCCTCTCTCATCTACTGACTTTGTTGCCAATATACTTGGATTCTGCGGCATTTCAGAAAATTTATCAGTGTCAAAATTAAGATAATCTAGATCACCAAGATCTTTGAATTTATTATTTTCTAGATATCCTGAAGCCATGGCTCACGTACGGAAAATAATATTGGAAAACGAATGTTGGATTTAATAAAATCGATCGTTAGCAGCCTCTGGCCATACAAGAGCCTCATTTAACTCTTCCCATGGATGGAACATTTTTAAAACTCCTTAACAAAGAGCCCTACGTGGATAATGTCTTCAACGAAGTCCTGTTGAGAAAAATATCAAGTATCAGCTTGTGACGCTGATCGATAGATGGCGTAAAGACTTTATATTTTTTGAGGTTATGATACAAGTTGTTTGTTGCTAGTTGCTATGCTAGGAACCTTTGCCTTGTTGTTGTTTTTCCTTGCAGCCTGTTGTTAAGTTCAGATATTTCAAATCCATCCGGTTATGGCCTCAGTTACCGGCGAATCGCGTTTAAAGCGGTAAAGCACAACGTGCGGTAAAATAAAAATAAAATAAAATAAAAATAACATAAAAAGTGAAGTGAAAATATAATTATATCTTCAATAGTTTCTTTGATTCGCCTGTAGGTGGGTTTGATTGTTTCCAACTCAGACAAGATTTCGTGAAATGTAGTTTGTCTCCTTTGCTCTTCCTTTATTAAATCTATCTTTCTGCTTCTCTTGATCTTTTTTAATTTTTTCTAATGCATCTTGTCATCGTTCTTCTATGTCTTCACCAAAGCCTTGATTCTCTAACCATCTTATATGACGTCACCATCTATATGTCTTAGTTTGAAACTCAGTAATAACTCAAAAGGTGTTCTTTCTGGTAGCTGTGTGCAAAGTATTATTAGTTCCATACTGAATTCTACCAACATATTTATCAGAATCTCAACCATTTCGACTTCTACAGATACTTGATAGTACTGGAATCAAATATCTATTCACTCGTTCTATTTGTCCGTTTGCAGCATTAAAAATCTGACTAATCTTTTTGTCTTTGCATAAGTTCTTGAACGTAATTCGACTAAATGAAGTACCTCTATCTGTAATAATTATCTGCTACATTTATTATTTATTTCTTCTAAGGCTTTCGCAGAAATCACTGATCTCGTATTTCTGACTGGTTTAAGAACCCAAACTTCGTGAATCCGTCTATTATCAGTAGTATATATTGTTATCCTTTTGTACTCTTGATAAGGTCGTCTAAGTGCAACGTGTGAAATGGAAAACCAATTTTGTCTATAGAATGAAGTTTGCATGGAGGTTTTCCACTAGGTATTTTAGTGTATAAACAATCTGTGCAGGCTCCAATATAGTTCTCAACATAGTTCTGCATTCTTTGCTACCACTAGAGCTTTCTGAGTTTATCCAAAGTTTTTGGAAGAGAGGGTGTAACAAAATTTCAGTATTTTTCATAAAATAAGTGCGCCTCCCGCTTCGACTTAACTTAATTATTAATTGCGTGACTTAATTTTATAAATTCACGGCGGTATTAATTAAAATCCTCTTTATATTATTGCTAAATATTAAATACATTATCATGATCTCGCGTGACCTCGGCTGGAATCTACCGATATCAGCAGGAATTTCGGCCAATATCAGCTAATTTGCATATTCTTGTTTACCCCGCCGCGTCCCTGACCCATATTTTCGGCTATAAATTGGGCAGAATTTGCTGGTAAAAGACAGTCTTCCACCGGTCTCCGAAAAGCCAGTCGACCCGACAGCAAAGTTAGCAGCATCACCACCAGAACCGTCCGAGGTAGGTCCACCCGTCGTAACCACAATAGGGGTCAGTTCTTGCAGGGCCTCGATTTAAACCAGAAGGTAAAACTCAATTGTATAAGCTTCACTAAAGATTTTCGCCCGGTACCCTGGACGGGTAAATCTTTTCCTGCAATAGGGGTTTCGCCCGGTACCCTGGATGGGTAAACTCTATTGCTCTTAGAACTTCGCCCGGAACCCTGGACGGGTAGTTCTGTATGAGAGATTTTCGCCTGGAACCTAGGACAGGTATTTTTCTCCGAAGCTTATATGGTATTTCTAATCCTTTAAATGCATGATTCGAAAACTGACGCTTATCTAGTTGCAGGTGGTGTCCGTACATTTGCTTGGGTCACCGGAGTTTGTTTTACCGCTTTATTACTATTTAACACTTGCCGTTAGCGTTAACGTTACCGGAACTTTTAGAGCTATCGGAAGCCTGACCGTTCCGTTATTGCTGCCGTTAACTTTATTTCCCCAAACCAAGGTTTTCAGAAAGTTTTACAGAGCAAGCGTCTGTGACCCCTGGATTACCGTTTCTCCACTGTAACAAGCTACCTGGTGCACGTGGGCCCTCAACCACTTTAATCCTGAGCGTGGCGCCCGAGGCAAACCGTTAGATAAACCGACTTACACTGAACCCGTGTTGATTACGCAACAAAAGCGCCTTACAAGGGGTGTCCTAAATCATCGTGATATTACTTCCTGATCATCCATCTAATTTTACTAGGTACAACCCATAATAAATCTTCATTTTGTTTCTTAAATAATCAACCATCTCTAATTTCATACTCATTTCCCATTCTCTTCTCATCTTTAGTAATAGTAATTTCCGACTTTTTGGCTAATACCTCCATATTATTCTTAAGTTTTGGATCTTCTTTCTGATATAAATATAACCAATC